TAAGTAATTGAAAAAAGCAAAATGTAGAAAATAAACACACATTTTGAAAAATGGTAAAACATGCTTCACCAAAATAGCTGGAAATCATTATTGGTTATTTAAGATGTTATCATGAGAAGCTATGAAAAGATTCTATCTAAGGCAGTAATGCTGGGTTGTGAATTATTCGTTAGCATAATAACCTGTTATTATTCAAATATATATCATATATTTACCAAACAAGCACATTCTTAAGACAAATTGCATTGCATTGCAGTGCAATGAAAGACATCATCACGTGAGGGAATCTCTGCACGTGATAACAACGTATTACAGAGAGGTTACTATGAGTTTGAATATACAGTTGACTACATCTTGCTGTTTCTGTTTGTGTTGTAAGTGGGTTAGGTAGGGAGCCATCTGTGTGTTTTCCTAGTTCTGTGCAAAGAACCATGTTCACTGGTGTAGCTAATACTTCTGGAACAAGTGATTGCTGTTCCGCATGTTACGCAAGAGCTGTGAAAGCTCTTCTATAAGACCTACTTTGCACAATGGAGAGAATCAGGAAAATAATTCCTTTTTAAATTCAGTTTTTCTCTGCCTTAGGGACAGATTGACAATATACCAAGTAACCATTTTTGTTTCCAGATAATGATTGTCTTCTAGTGGTTAGTACTCTACGTGCTGTTTTTCAGATTGAAATCAGCAATGATACCTGTGATACAAACTGGCCTAAATATATTCTATGGTCGTGATAGTTTCCATCTCTGTAATTCAGTTTTTTTAACTTTTGGAGTAAGTCATGCTTTAAGATAGTTATTCTAGTTGTGAAATGGAAGCTAGGTTTCATGGGTTTGCCTCCATCAGGAACCTGTGCTTCAAACTTTATTTTCTTCATCAGATCTTTATGAAGGACTTGACATTTCTACTTCCTTCCTCAAGTATTGTCTTAATGGGCTGTTAGCAAAGTAGAAATTCTTGCTGTCCTGAAAAGTCCACACAAATTATGGTTGTTATGTTGCATGTAACAGTACTGAGTTCAAATCTCAGGTGTCTGTCTGACCACGGGTAAATCTCTTTATTTCCCTGTCTCCATTGGTAAGTCTGTACAATTATGGAAATCCTAACAGCTCTGCACAATTCTTGAGCCTTAAGTGTTAGGGAAGCTACAGGAACTGATGAACAAGTATCTTTTCTAACATTAAGTATTTGGATAAAGCCAAAGTGGTTTTAGATTAATCTTTTTTTTTTCCTGAACATTTTATATTTAAGGTTGTACTTCATGTGGAAATATTCTGCACTTGATAGGATGTATTTTACATTAACTTTGTATGCGATGAATCTTGGACTTACACAGCCCAAATTCAAAGCAATATGTGCCCTATTTAAGTAATGAGCTATTGATTTTAAAATTACTTCTTTTATTACCATAATATGGAACTAGTAATACTCTGAAAACTTGTCTCTGAAATGAATGCTGTTTAATTTCAGTTTGAAATAGCATAGAAATGGACTTCAAGGATTTTACCTATTGAAATTTGGCGTATCACAGATAGCAGAGACTTTTCAGCCTCATGTAGTGCCCTACACTGTACTCAAAGCATCTGTGAAGAAATGCCTCTTCCTCTTGCTGGAGCACAGACCTCTGAATGGGGTTGTAATGTAATGTCGCCTTTATTTGTCACTGGTAGCTATACCCTATATGCATTCTTGTTGCTGAGTGTTTACAACACCTTCAGGATCAAAGAAATGCTGCCAAGGCGGCTCATTGTGAGAAATTTTGACCTACTTTTACATTTGGCACCGCTTTGCCTGCCAGGACCAGGTAGGCTGTGAACAGAGCTTCAGCACGTCTTCCTGAGGAGGTCCAGTCTGAAATTGAGATAAGAGAACCCTGTCATGGCAAAGCAAACAAAAAGCAATATCGCTTTTGTTTTAAATTTTGTTTAAAAAAACAGACAGAGGTTAAACTTTTCCCCCATCCTCCCCCCCCACCCCACTTCTGCCCCCTTCTCTCGGGGATGCAAAGTGAGTATGCTGGGGTGCGGAGGTTGCAAGTTTGATTCATTTGTGTGTGCACGTTTGTTTTCCATCCTTTTCCTGCTGCTAGTTCTTAGTTCTGCAGCACTGGGGTATGTGTAGAGAATGAATTTGTTTTCTGTGATTGCTTTAAACAACTTTAAACTGCTCATGCCATAAGATTATTGCAGGTCATCTTCTCCTAACACGTAAATGAGAAGAAATGGCCACACATCTGGTTTATTCAAACCTACGTTTTTGCTTTACAGGCTGTGATGGAGTTTTCCTTATGTAGTACATGACTGAAACAGTATATTAGTAAGCTGTATTTGTCAAGTAATAGAGATCAGTTTGTACATTTTGTTGCCACACATTCATGTTGTGCTTCACCTTCCGTTTCCCCTCCCCTTTGCAATGTAATGCAAAACTTTGTAAAATTTTGGCAGTTTAGTGTTCCCACTTTCAATGTCTGAACTAAAGTACAAAACTCTGCAGTTTATGCAACAAATGCGCTGTACATGAAAGTAAGATCATCAGTGCTTTTCATACCTTTAATCTGAACAGTTGTAGACCTCTACATTGGAATGAAGTGAGCATAACTTGAAAATACCCATTCGTTTCTTTAGCTGAGACTGAAAGGAGCCTAGATGGTTTTTTTAAGGTGTAGATGCCTAATGTATATCAGGTGAATTGATCCCGAGTTTTCCAAGCACTGCTTTTGGAACTTCAGCCTTCAGCTTTTTAAGGAATGATGTTTTGAATTTGTTTGGTTTCGTCAACAGAAATGAAAGAATCAGAGCAAGGTTTGATGAGGTACCTACCTAACAGGCTTCTGAATTCTTTATGTTAATGTATTGAGATGAGAATGGAATTTGGGTAGGGGAGAGGAAGGTTTCTCTTTGAATGAAACACTTTCTATGATTAGGTTTTCAAAAGTAGCCTTCTGTCTTCTATTAAGCTATTGATTGTTTACAAGGAAGCTTGAAGGAAATGGGTTTTATTAATTTGACCATATATTAAGAAAAAGGCTGGAGGCAGCTCTACTGTTGACTCTTCAGTGGATACGTATGGAGCCCCACCTTGAAAACATGATTGGTGACATGAAGAAAATAAGCCAACTCGCTTGGTTTAGCCGGTTTCTGTAACATTAGGAGATTGATGGGGGGCTTCAGCGCTACCGTACGGGCTCTGAGGGCTGCGTATTCCATTCCCCCCCAATATTCCTGAACAGGTCTGTGTTTGGCTTTCTTGAGAAATAAGCATTTTCTTATTCTATCCTTTCCATAGCAGGGGTGTTCATTGTAAGAAAAGGTAACGTCTGAATTATACAGTAAATAATAGCAAGTTGAGATACAGTATTCAAAAGCTGTTGATACTTATGGAGATAATCTGTTGCTCAGAAAGTCACCGTTGCAGTAGTTTGAATTCGTGTGTTAGTCCATTCAGTGGTGTTTAAATACTTTGTAGTTTGGAAGACGTAATTACATCATCACTTTAGCAGTGACATGAAGTTGCATCCCTCAGAGTTGGAAAGTCACCAAAAAAGACCTGTCTGTGATACATGAAAGATCTGGAGTTTGGAGGCTGTCCATTGGTGCCCTGTTATCATCATCCTTGTCTTTGTTCAGAGCTTTAAATAAAAAGGGCACACCAGATTTTCCTTAATTAGTTTCCTCCTCCCCTCTGGATTATTAATGGCACAGAAGCAGGTCCAGTCTCTTATTGTACTGAATGCTCAGGTGACTACATTCTGTACCAGACCAGTGGTAACAATATTTGGCTAGTAAAACATTAAGAAAAGAAAAGAAAACTTGCTCAGGACTTCTTTCTATCCTAAATATTTTTGTAGGTATTTTAAAGCCAACCTAGCAGCCTGGTTTGCAGTGCTTACCATTCACGAATACTTAACCCCTGACACTGTCTTTATTCAGAAGAATGTCTTGCTGCTTGTGCTGTGTGATGGTTTTATGCTTAAAAGAGCGTTCAAAATCTTTTTCTTTTTTTTTTTTACTTTGAGCATATTTTTAGTAGCCTAATATTTAAAGGGAAACAACTTAAGGCTTTTAGAGATCATTCCCTGTGTATGAAAGGTCCCATTTTAACGTGGATGTTATGCATTTTCTTCATCTACCATCTACTTTTTTCTTAGCCAATGACAGTAACATTCCTAAGGCTACTTTCTCTTTAAGGACATACTGCTTACATAAATAGTCCTTTACACCATCTCCTTGTTTTATAATATTAATTGCTTATCAGAAGATGGGAAATATTCCTTAGAAATGTGTTTTCCTGATTGTGCATGCCTTGTTACTATTTCAATTATGCAGATTCTCGATGCTGTGGAAATTTGTGCTTGATGACGCCAAGGCAGCTGCACGTTGTTAGCATTGTAGGCTGTCAGATGATCATGTGGGATTCTTGCAGCATGCAACATTCAATAGGATTGAAAAAGGGCTTTTGATGCAAGGCATAGCTTTCAGAATATATTTGTGCCTTTTAGTTAGCTAATATAAAAGCATAATTTCTTCTCTTTAAATTTAAAATGCTGCCTCATTTTTCTTCTGGTTGGTTTCATTTTGGCTTCACTAGAAGATGCATCTGGTACATCCACGATTGAGGAGTTTATTAATGATACTGTCATTCAGTTCACTTACTTTTTTTCCTTTTAGAGTCCTAGCTAGCCCACAGATTACATGATCACATGTTCATTCAGTCCTTCATATAGAACACAAACCACCATGCATGATTTCTTCTTCTTTCTTTTTCCTCTCTGCCTTTTTTATTCCCTTTAAGTTGCTTTGTCATGTTCTCTTTTATCATTAAGCTTAGTCTTTGTCTTCCCCTCGCTACTATTTGTTCTATATTTTCCCATGCTTGGTTACTGCAATATTATTTGATTAACGGGCTGTGATGATGATGAACCTGCACACTGGAGGAGCAGCTACTACAGTGGTGATGAAGGGATGTAATAATGGTCGCTATCCTCGGAATTCTCTCTACAGTGACTGCATAATAGAAGAAAAGGCAGTGGTCCTGCAGAAAAAAGACAATGAAGGATTTGGATTTGTGCTCAGAGGGGCAAAAGGTATGTGCTTCTGTGTGTGTGTGTGTGATGTGCACTGGCATGAAGAAATTTATACATCTCTGAATATAAGCAGGAATTATTCTTGATGCACTTGGTTGCTAGACAACAGGATTCTCTCTATGCTATAGTACTCAGACTGATTTTAGTGGCTTCTGTCTGAAGCAGTTTGCATTTTTACATAGGAGAAGCACTGTATAATTGTTTGGGGGGGAGAAAGTTTTGCCTGTATTTTTATTGTGTTGGTATATGTAATATTTTGTCATTAATCTGTTTTGTTATGCAGTTTACCTAACTATGGGAAACCTGCTTTCCTTATAAAACCTGCTTCTTTATTTCAAATGTCAGTCTATTGAAATAGATCTACAAATAGATGTAGACAAGAGAGTGATGTTTTGTTTAAAATAGGTGTGGATCTTCTGCAAGGTGACATTGGTGCAGTTTTAGTATGAAAATATGATCTTTTTTTATATCTTCAGAAGCTGCACGTATGTTGCATGGCCTGTAGTGTGCTCATTTTAAAAGCTGTTCATATGTTAAACTGCATGTTACTTTTCTGCAGACTAAAATCTAGAACAACGGCATTCTTAAGAGTTAAAAAAAGCATTCTATTTAATGCTTTGCTTTTTAACTTTCGGTCCGGTTTGCTCCTTTTGTATTTAGAAAAATACATATGATGGTATGTCCCATCTCTTGCTCCCCCTCATTTTACGTGGGTTCTCCCTTGCCATGCTTGAGCATGAAAATTATTCCATATCTTCATTCTTGGGACATCATTTTTGCTCTCCCTGTTCCACCACCCCTAAACCAGTGCTACCGTATATTTTTCCGTGCTGTAATAGCTTTTCTAATTTTAGCTAAATAAACGTTTTTGGAGTTCTACTAGGAAAGCCCATAGCACTCCCTTTTAGCTAACCTATTGGCATGAGTTGGCTGTGCATCGAGCAGAGGTTACTCACTCTGTGTAAGCCCAGCAATTGTCCCCAGATTTTCTCAGTATCCGTGAGGGCACCTCAGGTGAAAGACCCAAGGACTTTCCTGTCCTCGCTTGTGTGTGTACGTGACAGAGAGGGCTGTTACAAGGCCTGCTGTGCCTCCTTTCCTAAAAAGTGATTTCTTTTGTGATCTTCTTTGAAATACGCATCCAAATCTAGAAGAAAAATTGAGTTTGATCTTTTTCATCCTTTCCCACCCACCACATCCCCCAGTTCAGCCGGACGTCTCTTCTGGCTGCGTTTTTAGTTGGATGTTTCCAGAGTTACAAGCATTTTGCTAGGCATACAAAAGGGCTACTGAAACTAATACTGAATATCCGGGAATACTCAGAGTCCAGCTATTGCCTCACACAGCTTGATTTGGTTTGTGCCAGTAAAGAAGCATGTATTTTTCTCTCTGAATTGAAGACCTGTGGATTGCTGTTGCAGAGAGATTGCACTCTGTTCCCAGCACCTTGGTATCCTCTGAGGCAGAGTCCTCTTACTTTTAGCACCCACCATTTTTTAACCATCGATCTGAATGGCCAGTAATAGGCCTTTAGTCAAGTGGTATTTGCAAGCACTCCATAACTTTCTTTTTTTTAATGTGGTATTTATTTTTAAAGCTGACACACCAATTGAAGAATTCACCCCAACTCCAGCCTTTCCTGCTTTGCAGTACTTGGAATCTGTGGACGAAGGGGGAGTAGCATGGCAAGCTGGCCTGAGAACTGGAGACTTTTTGATCGAGGTAGGAG